CACATTCTTGTTCTTCTATGAGCTTCATGGTAGATTCATTCAGTCTTTTGAGAAAGTTATTATAATTGAACATATTCAGACCTACCGGTTTCTGCATATTGTATCGTAATGATACCTTTGCACCGTTTAGTTCATCTGCATCTTGCATATTTATATTTTCTATAACTATTCTTTTCATTCTTGTACGGTTGCATAACTTATGAAGTTCAAGATATGATTAGAGATACGTGTTTGGTTTCAAATAGTATCGTTAAGGCTGAGCATTCCACAGAAAAATCACTTTATGTTCGCATGAAGTATCAGGGTAGGGGTTAAATTGCTCTATGCTAGAGTTAAATTTATCCTGATAAATCAGTTCATGTATACGGGTCAATCGCTTTCTGGGGTAAGTTTCAACCTCAAGGGTAGAGTTTACCCTCGGAATCGTTGATGAATATGGGTTAGTCGCTTTCGGTGTAAGGTTTACACTCAAGGGTAGATATAACCCTCGAAGCTAAGCCTACCCTGTATTTCGTGAATAAAGCCTTTACACGTTCTGGGATAAAACTTACCTTAAAGGTAAGGTTTGCACCTAGGGTTTGTTGATGAATACGACCACTGATCTCAGTTTTTGAAAGAGTGAGAGAGAAACAACAAGAGAAACTGAGAAACAATTGAGAAAGTGCTGACACCCTTACGCTCCTCACCAGGAAACTTAATAAGCTGTTCAAATTGAAAGGTTATATGCATCACAGTAGATGAGTCAAGTATACGGTCTAGAGGAAGTGTCTGATGGTATAGAGAACAGACTGAAGATGCTATAATTTCAAGCTATACTTTGAAAGGCCCAACTAACTCTACCACAATCACGCTATAAATGAGAGAAAGTCAGCATGACTGCGCTTGAGAACTCGGACTGGTAAGTCCGAAAAGGGTAAAGCGCTCTTGGTAAGTTTCCTACCTACAAAGTATACAAGTAACCCTTCAGAAAATTCTAATTTGTTCAGTATTATCTATTAGCTCAACAGCTTACTACGACGTAAAGCTCGTAAAAATGTACCTCTTAACACGTTTCGGACGAGTGCTGCACATGGTGCAGCACGTGTTTTGAAGGATCTTTCTGGCGTTTACAGTAGGTTTCCCTTTAGTCCAAAGTTGTTGAGCCAAAGGTCTAAGCTCCTACTTTTCAAATGACTCTGTAGACTGTGCCTCGCATGTTTGTTTAGAAGATATGAGGACAAATCGAACAACATTTGCAGAGAAGTGCGGCAACGCGAACGACGCGTACGACTCGCAACTTTTCTTTGCTTCGATTCCAAAGAGAAAAACCGTAGTTTCAATAATGATGTGCACCGTGTACAACATAGATACTTTTGAATGCTATTTGAAACTGAGTTCTTACTCCTATCTTTTAAGAAAGCACAAAAGTCCCTCTCAAGCGACAAAATTCAAACACTTCAAATTCACTCAGAACTTTGGGTATGGAACTTATCTGACATGCTGATTACAAATGTGGCCCACAGGCTGCGAAATAAGGTCCCTTTGTAGGCTAACGGCTGAAAGTACACTCTTTTTCGCCGCGCGCGATTCCGCGGTCCGAAACGTGTTAAACTAGAATCCAAGTTATTATCATTTTGCAGCCTGATCACAACGTAAATCAGCACAACTCTGGCTCGTAACGAGGATCGTAATACAATTTTATAGCTATGATCAGCCCCGGGCTCTTAAGTAAATTCCTATATACTTGTCATTTCAAGCCAACACCTAGTTTGGACGACCAAGTTATGGCCGAACATTAGATTCAACAAAGGCTCTCCGTGGATGTGTTAAAGCTCACGATACAAAAATCCCGCCAAAAATACGAGGTCTGGGCTTAGGAACTCTGCGAATACTCCGCTTCACAGAAAATAAGCGTGGTCTTTGACGATGCAATTATGGTATGGAAAGAGTTATCACGCACAACTACTCGAATTTTCTATACTCTTACAAATCCTCCAGCTACTGGAAAATATGCTGCTGAATCGGTTTCATCTTTGCAGCGGAAGGAGTCAGAAAAGCAAAAAATATCCATTCGCGACATCCATGACCATCGGAACCCATGGCTAAGTAAGAAAGATTTCTGCTTATATTCACATTGTTCATGATGCTTGATGACTATGAGCTGCGGAGAGATTCAATGAGCTTTGATTGTTAGCGTCAAAAAAGTGTTAATGTCAAAAAAGCGTCTATGTTGATTGGCAAAGATAATAGGAAATATAACTCCAAGATTATCAGCTTGATATCTTGCATAAGAAAAAGGGAAGCTCGTTTTTAAGCCCTGTCCTTTTATCGGAAGAATATCTTAGTGAGAAATTTAAAAAAAAACCTTTTCAGCTAAGAGAGGATGTCAAAAAAATGTATTGAAAGTTTAATCGCTAACTCATGTTACAGCAGCTTTCACTAAATTAGTGGTATATTGTAAAAGCTGCTTAGGTTCAAATTTACATTGCAAACCGGATCATCTATCGCTTTCCATTACTTCACAGTTTTTGTTAAGAACTTCCAATATAATTCCCTCATTACAAGCTGTTGTTTGCAGAGAATTTCTTGTGCAAGCGATTTGCTTACACTTGTAGATAATTGAAGTTTTGAAATTTTCGAAAAAGTTCGAATTAGCCTCGTAAAAAGAATTTTTCGGAGGAATAGCTGCCTTACGGATATCCTGGACCCACCATGTCTACACGTATGTGATTTCAAATTCAGGATTTTGTTGAAGCGAAAAGGTCGTTCATGTAATTACTGCTTATTAAACTGGCCGCAAAGTTTCCAGCTTTTTCGTAAAACGTTTCAGAACAACGATGATCTCAATGACGCAAAACCAACCGTTCTCACTGTAATTCTTCAACAACGAAAAAAGATCTTGATCGGTTTTGTATGGCTAATCTCACAAGGGAACATGTTTAGTCAAAGTGGCTTTTTCAGATGAGATGTATACGATGATAAAAAGCATTAAACGCTGATTCTCAATCTGTCATCCTTATCTGCGGAGTATTTGTGGACTATTATGAGCGTTCATTAAAGCAAAAAGTCAAATGTGAGCTAGTATAAAATGACCTGCTAAAATCATACTAGCTCTCAAATGAAGCAGCCGAATGTGATGCATTCTTTTATCTCTTAGTATTCACTGAAAAAAGTGCTCTGGAAATTATCACTGCTCCACTAATGCGCTGAAACATTTATCAGGACTATTTTTGACCTACTTGCACACTTAGCTTATTGCTCCAATAACTCTCATAACTCCTCGTCCATAAACGTTCTGCAAATTGGTAAGGCAGATTTGGAATCAACGTTTTGTGCCCTCCAATATGCTTAAAATACGTCCCATCTAGAAAGGAGAGGCCACTTTGACTATACATGCTTCCCTTGTTAGTCTGAGCTAATCAGACAATGTGGCCCAAAACCTCGCGAAATTTCAAACAGAAGAATTGATTGAATGCCTCGATAATGTCTTTGGGAACCCTGTATCTGAAGAAATCATTACAGTTGTGATTTCTGTCGAAATTACTGATCTAAAAAAACTAATTCTAAGATGTTGCAGTCCGTCACCAGGGCCAACGCGATTAGCTTGATTGGGTTTCCGTTCTTGGCGAGCGTGGCAATACTGCTCGGCATGGAAATCCTTGACAGAATCCCTATTGTGAAAATATGAAAATTTCTTATGAGAAAGCCTTCTGATACTTCCAAGATTTACAGTTGAGTGTAACTGCTTTAAAAATGTCTTGGTTCTATTAATTCTTATAGCTCCTCCTGTTATCATCAATGATGTCGTTTCAATGTTACCCATAACGAAGTTGTCGCAAACTATACTGCTATTCTCCATTTACAATTTTACGAAAAAGTTATGGCGGAGAAAACAGGAAAACGGGTTTCAACGTTTTGTTTTACACCTGACGTATTCTTATTCGGAAAACAATTTTTTAAGGGCACTGTCCGGCAAAACTTCAGACTGTTTGCTGCACATAAGTTCTCCGAGCAGATTAGAGTAACGAGTCGTTATTAACGACTACGTCTAATGGAAGATATGGGAATGTTTATTTTTCTCCAAAGTGTTAAAGTGTATTGAATGAACAATTGATGTATTTGGTTGAATGGTGAAGAAAAAAGGATGTGGACAGGGTAAAAGAATCAAACATCATACATTCTCGCTGAAAAATCAAATATTGATAGGAACTGCGGAAGCGGGAGATATTAGAAGTCGTCCAATAGGAGAAAAAAAGTAGAGTTCTTCCAGAATGTAGTTTTTAGTAAAGCACATGAAACATTGCAAAGAGTACTTTGTAATTATGTTCCAGCACAACCGGATGGCTTCAAAAAACTGTTATTCGGCGATGAGAAATTTGATATTCTCTTGTTCTTCAAGTAGAACAATTATAATATATTGCAAAGTCAGTGAAAACGAAGTTTTTTAGTAATGCGCCTTACATCTACACCATGAGCGAAAGGAAAATATTGTATTTTTCTAACGATATGAAATTTTTGAAAACCAATTCTAAAAAGAAAGCACCGGAATAAACGCGAAATCGCTCAAAACTTGATACCATTCAACTAATTCCAGAATTTTTAACCTTGCGGACTAGGAAAGTTTGCTTGTATCAGAAAGTTAGGAACAATCACGCTAAAATGGGAAACACTGGTATAAGAGACTAAGAAACAACTAAAAAATCACCTTTGTATATATTTTTCATCATCCTTTCGGGACAAGGAATGATTTTTAATATGCATCATAGAAGCAAGGTGTAAATTTATATAGACCACAATTCAGAAACAGATTGAGTTGCAAGTTTAAGAGCTAAGCTTGTGATATAATCCTCAGTTCGTATTTTTCAAAGTTTTTTCTTGTCCTCATTTTCTAGAAAATTCTAATGCTGAATCTCTCCAGCGACCCGTCTACTGTCGCTACTTCGATGACGAATTTCATGAAGTGGCAAAACCTTTTAAAAGCTTCTTGTTCCCAAAATATAGCATTTTCTGCTTGCGACGAGATGAAGCCACATCTATTTCGCTATCAGGGTGCCAATCTGGAAACTACACGTACCCCGTGCCGATTTTGGACCGCACTTTTGACGGTCAGTTTGGCGACGTTCGTGGGAGGGCCCCCAGAAAATTGAAAGCTCTCTATGTCTCTGTTACAATATCCCTTACTGAAATATTATGACTAAAAGGAAACGTTGCTAAAATAACCTAGCATTTATACGAAATTACCCTTGCTTACTAAGGGTATGAAATTAGGGACCATGTATACAGACTTTTATGAGCAAAATTGTTTTGCATTGAAAGACGATTCAGCTAAATTCTGCACTACAGGTATCAATAGCTCGTCCTGTACTCTTGTCAAAAACCATAGAGGCTATTATGTATTGCTATGGGAACATCGTGGACTGACAATAAGGCAAAGATCCACGCAGCATGTCACTTCGACAGTTGTAAAAAAATTTCTTGAATTTCTGCAAGAGCTCCCACACTTTAGAACTCCTTTTTTTGAGCTGGCCAACAATAACCTACCTTCTTGCAAACATTTATTTCCAGCGTATTTCTTCTGTTCCCAGAACTCCCAAGGAAACTCTCCTATCAGGTTGGAAGCTAACAATAAGTTTTGCAATTTTTACAATAACATAGGTGTAGCCTTCCTCCCTTTCAACGTTGCGCACTCAAATTTAAAAATTATAAAAAATTACAATTTGAATTTTTACTATTTGAAATCTCGGCGAATCTTGAGATCTGACTCCTTTGTTTCCGACTATCACCCGAGCAATCTTGCCTACAGCGAATCGTTCGGCTTTGTGAGGGCGCCATATTTGATTTGACTTGGCTTTGAAATTTATCTCTTTTCGCTGAGCAGTATGAGTTAATCTTTAGCAAAGATTGTATACAGTTCTAGTATCCTGCATAGTTTAGGCTGCTAATGGCTTCATTTTGTATAGCTCCAAAATTTCTCGAAATTTACTAGTTTTCAAAAAATGCCTGGATATTTTCACTTCTTCAAATTTCAAACAGTTTACGTGCAATAGTACACTCTTTACGCTCTAAATACTGTCAGAGTTTGAGCATGCCACATCTAAAGGAAGTAAGTTATGAAAGAAGTTGCAAAGGGAAGTACCTTCAATGGCCGTGCCCTTTGATTTCAGATGCACATCGGCTAAAGCATTTTTGAACGCTGATTTCAAATCTGCGTTGGGTTTCTGCGGAACGCTCTTCCAAAAAGAGTTATGGAAGCCCTCCTAGAACGTTCTTGGTGCAGTGTTAGCGTGCTGGCATCAGAGGCAAAAGATCAATGGTTCGAATCCGGTAGATAGCGAGTCCCTTTGCGTTTTGAGTATGAATTATGTACCCACCCGAAACCTTCGCAGACACAGCCATTTTTTTTGACATCTGACCTACAAAAAGAATTTTTTGGCGCAGCTGCATGTAGTGAGCCTTTCCACCGGTTTCAAATCATTAACTTCTCTCTTCCAATGCCAGCACCCACTACATCCTGCACCACTAACGTGAACAGCGGCGTCCTAGAATTTAAGGGACCCCCGAAAGTGGGGTTTGCATGCTCTCACAACTCCTTTCAAAAGAGCGTTCTGCAAAAACGGAATGCAAATTTGAAATTAGCGAAAAGCACTTTAGTCGATATGCATCTCATATATCAAAATGGCCACGGCCGTTGAAAGCACTTCCCTCGTTAGTTTTTAGTTTTCTGCCTAATAATTTACTGATGACACTAACCAAACACATCAGATTTTCTTCACATCTATCCTTCTTGCTAGTTATTGCAATTTTTAAGGAGCATTTCCGACCCATTAATCGGGGTGTTCATTTCCGACAACGGTGGATTCTGAAAAATGATACGATGCCTTCAAAATACAAGGATGATAATCAGGTCGGTAGAAAGGAAACGCTCTTTGCCTTTCTCATACGGCGTTATTATTGCGATAGCGAACAACAGAAATCACAGTCAAGTTCGGATGTCCATAAATATTGGCAATATTGGCTTTAAAAATGCTATCGGCAAATGCTTGTAGCAAAGTTAGCAATTCAAGCATTTTGATTTTATTGCTTTTTTAAACAAAAACACGATTTTGTAAAACCAGTGTATTGAGTGCAGTTTAGTCTAAGGAGTGACGTTTCATCGCAAGTCTTTTTCCTACATTAGCTTATCATAACTCTCCTAAGGGTTGAGCCAGAGTGCGCGGCGTACGAGCGTACGTGACGTACGCAGCGTACGCTCGGTATATTTCATCATAGGAGCGTGCGAGGCGTACGCTACGTACGCCGCGTAAGCCGCGCAGTCTGGCCCAACCCTAAGCTTCTGCTGCGTGGCGTATGAGCCATTCTTCTTCTGCTAGTTCAAGTCTAAGTGTGAACAAGATTCTCATATAATTCGGAATGGTGCAATTTAAATGTTGCACAAGCTGGGAACCGCGTCGCAGCGCGCGCTTGCGTATCGCCTTTGAGATGCGTCATTGCCGTGTGTATATCAATGATTTTCATCTTTATTAGTCTTACTCCAAAATGATCATGAGCTTGTGAAAGTGCTGATAAACTGGATTGGAATCGCATCGAGACTGAGGCTACACTATCAACTTACGTCAATCTGCACATTGACGAAGGTTTTGTCTGAGGAGGAGAGTTCCATTCCGATCTCGGCTGTGCATGTGTCCCTCTAACACATTTCTACAATTAGTGCAGTGGTACGTGCAAGCTGTATTTTTAGATCTCATAAAGTGAAAGAGATTCATGTCTTACAAGTAAGGGAAAAAATTTTACGTGGTATTTGATTAAGTAAGAGCCGCTTAGAACTTGAACCTTTTGTCTACAATAAGATTCAGACACTACTTTTTTCCAGACTGCCACCTACATGCCAACACTGCGATACCACAATACTTCTCATGTGGGACCTGTTGGCCATACTGCTAAGTGCATAGTGGATCCGCTGAAAGTAAAATATCCAAATTTGATTCGGTTTATTTGAATGGTGCTGTATGCGCTAGTTTTGTTTTCTTACTATAGATATGCGGAATGCGGGAGGCATACTGTTATACTGAAATGATATCAGAACTTTCTTACCAGCATTTTCACAAGTTACTCAAAAGAGCTAGTAGCCGCGCAAAAATGTCCACTGACTGAACTCGATGACACATCAATGCCCATTTTCTCGGTTTTTGTCTAAACAGTCCTCAGTAAACGTCTTTATGGTGTTGTTCATTTAAATCCAATGCCATTCACCTTTTGGAGACGAGGCATTCTTACTTCATTTTTGGTTGAATGCCATTTTGCCAAGCAATCGTGCGTGTAAAGGGCAAACTTGGCCGTACAAAGCCGTTTTCGTCCCGGTGTTGGACCAAAGCATGCAACTAGGTTACTTCATATGGCCCTTACCCAAAGGTGAGCTAAAAAAGCAATAGAGTGCCCAATTTCGCAATCTTTGGGCACCATTTTTCGCAATAAGGCTGCTCATAATCTTGCCTACAAAGACGCTGTGAAGATACGGAAGACAGATTTGTAATCATCATTCTATGTTGCATCAAATGGTATGCAACCTGTTTTAATTGTCCACTTCGATCTTTGAACATTCCGTTGCCAGTGTCAATAGCGTATCTGACAGTTCGTATGACAACGTTCATTTTTGAAAACCAGTTTCATTGATTTGAGTTTTTGAGAAGTGATCAAGGCCTTTGTTTTGTGTACATCTAATACAAGCATTTGGCATATGTTTCCGGAATGAATTGAAATTCTGACTTTTATCTGACTTCCAGTTTGCCAAAGTGATTTACAGATTTTGTTCTATGAATGCTATATTCAGCGGTTAAACCGTAGTCGAAGAGCTTCACAGCAGGCTGTAGAGACAAATGTGCACACCTTTTAACCTTTGTATGTATATTCTCCGTCTTTCCGGACCTTGGAATATCATATGGAAAGTCTACCTCTGACTGTCGCAATATGAAAGAGATAACCGTATGCATCGTCTTTTGCATTGCAAAAGACAGTTCAAAAGAAGTGTTTCTTAAAGAGCCCAAACCTTCTACAGACGAGTTTTGATGGCGCTCAAATTTCTGCCACTAGTTCATACGAAACCAAAAAGTCGATCCTCCATTACAGCCTTCCAAATTGTAAATTGTGAAATGGCAGGTACTTTGTCAGATGTTATGCCATGCTGCGGGTGTTATGAAAAATTACAGTGATAAAAGCGTTCGCAGCAAGTTGAAGCCAGCGTTTCAATTTCTAACGTTAGTAAAGGTTCGCGGAAGACGTCAAAGCAAGAGAGTTATTTGTCAAGTAGTGGTAAAGCTGCATGAGGGATTTTTTTTGCTCAAATGATAAAGATAAATTGAGTCAAGGTAATGATCATAGAAGTGCAAATTCGTATGTTAATTTTAAGCGATGCAAACGTGACAAAAAAACTTGCTCAAATCCATCCTATTGATATATAGAAAAGATCACTTGCGAAGTGAAAAAAGAAAGACATTAGTAATTTGGTTCAGGTGCTATGATGAATTCCACTTCCCTGACAAGTTCCATAACAATTATACACTCTATCGATTGGAGCCAAAATTTGGGGTGGTCAGGTAATGGTTTTCTAAAACAAATTTTTTTGACTTGGGACTTGTTAGTTCTCTTTTCTACTTCCGAAGAATGGAATTCAAAGAGCAAATTGGCGTTTTTAGGCATTATCGTGACGTCCACCTTGGTTCTTGGGGTCAAATATGGCTCAAAGAAGTGGAAGACATGGGAAACTTTTTGATGACGGATTGCCCAGCAAGATGGAAAGATACTCTATGTGAAAATGTACAGAAGCGATTGCATTATATTTATGGTGATAAACGATAGCATATGTCTTCGCAAACCCGCCAGAATTCTAAGATGCACCTGAGATGTTGTTACTGTTTATGAACTCCTTATTGATGATATGTGGTTTTGACTCGTGCATTTTGGAGGTTGATACGTTTTTTACAGAAGATTTATTCAGAGTTGTGTCTTATAAAAATTGTCAACAATCAATGGCGGATCGAGAGCGGGCTAGCCTTGTTAAGTTTTCTTTAGTTTTTTTGAATTTTGGGGTTGCGGGGCCGCAAAAATTTTGTGAGTATCCTAAAATATTTTTAGACCATTTTTCTCGTCGCTACTGTTGGCTAGCTGACATCCTCGGCCCTACCCGGTGGTTACGGTCTCAGTTAGTGTCCGATATTGGAGCGAAATGCGGATCTAGCGGGAGCAGTTTCCTGCCTTTTGTCTGCTTTCCTCCTATCCACTCTTCGCGCTCTTCCCAAAATTATCTTCCTAAATCAGTTCAATCTTTCCAGCTGCTAGCGTTTACATAAGAACACATCCCACATCCCTTGTCAACCTAGAGTGTCACACACTCTAGGTTACTTTTTTCGACCTTAAGGCTTGAGTACATCCGGCATTCCCTAGTTATATAAAAAGTCAGTTGAAGAGTCTACTAGTAACCGAAAGTAGTACCATTACGAAAAACATGAGAGTCACAACCAAAGAGGATAAGAGGCACAAAAAGAACAGCGAAGCCAAGTGATCATCTCCATTCAGGGCACAGCATAGATGTACTGAAGTCAAAGGGCAAACAGCCAAAGGGTTATTGTAAAACATGTTAAACGTGCATGACCTTTAAACCTGCTCTCCTGCCTCATCATCAGGTAGTACTCTACAGACACCCTCCACTGCCTTCTTTACCACAAGCGCCAATTTCAAAATATTACTATCATTCAGTGGCAATACCAAACTATGCAATTACCGGTACTCTTTCGTTATCCGGGCCCTTCTCAAAAATCTCTCGTGAATACTTTCTTTAGCTAAGAATATTTTCATAGATTCAACGAGGACGGCCTCCTTGCCATGCGTCAAAAAAATTGACACTTTTGGTCCATTTCGGTTTCTTTCGAAATCATTTCCGGTGAGGTAAGAGAGTACTCAGACAATTGCATCGGAAAGTTCGCGGCCTCAAAGCGTGTTACATGGCGCGCCGCGGCCCTTAAAATTTCAGCTGCGCACTCCGCGGCCCATGTAAATTTTACCGGGAACGCCGCGGCCAAAGCTGAAATTGGGAAGAGGTTATCGGGAGGGTCGCGGCCCAATCACCTCACTCGGCGGGCCGCGGGTCTTATCAAAGGCCGGATTTCTTACACACTGTAGGTTAAGGCGTAAACCGCGTGAGGTACGACGCAGCAATGGAGCTACCCTAAGTGTTTGTGAGACTGGTTAATCGTTTCTCGTGTTTGGTCCTGTCTGACAGTTAAGTTTTTATGCTTATGGAACAAACTTCGGCAGTCGGATGGGTGTTATCGTCGACATTAGAAGATGTCGACAGATGAGCTAACAAGTTGCTCAATTAGCACTAAAGTCATTGTCATGAAAGACAATGCAAAAGATTTTTCACTCTTCCTAGCACTCACAAGCATGCTAATCGGGTCAACTATCGGGCGCTTACAGGATGCGCCGCGGTCACACCGGGTCTAATATCGGTTTATACCGGGCAGCTCGCGGCATGGATGATTGGTGGCCGAGCAAGCACCCGCGAACTTCCCGATGCAGTTGTCTGAGTATTCGTGATCATTTTAAAAGAACATAAAAAATAAAACAATCATAAATTTATTCAGAAACATTTTGCTTGCTTTCAACAATGATTCAAAGATGTTTTTCTCAACAAATTGTTTTCACCATGCAAATTTAGCCAGGAAAGACTATGAATGATAGCTTGAAGTACCTTGCTGCTGCATTAATTCCTCGTAAATAACATAGTAATAGCGCAGTTCTCTATTCTGAGCAAGTCTGGTCCGTTTGTCGATAATCATGTTGTTATTATTATGAAAATGTTCACTTTGAAACTGTTCGATTGAGATTAGGTCAGAAATGACTACAAAACAGATTGAAATTATGTCGCTAGGTAGGGTGATATAAACTCTTGGTAAAACTTGTTAAACATGCAAATGACATGTCAAATTTTTTTGACACGTGGCAGAAGGTTGACACTCCTTGCTTTAAAGCTGGGAACAAATATGGTGCAAGGACAGAAACAATATCCTTCTTTAAAAAAGTGGGTTCGGATAACGGAAAAGTACCCAATTGCCTCTCCTCTTTTGGACCATGCATATCTAAAGTGATGAGTTTTGGTCTATTTGCAATTGTGCGGGTATGTCGAGATGCTCGTAGTGGGTGAGACTTCTAGTTTTCTTGGTGCGATTTGATCTTGCGCGTAGAGGCGCAAAGAGAGGATGTTGTTTTCCTTTTGTATTCGATTTCGTAGCCCATCCCAGCACAACATTTAGAAGGGACTGGAGTGACTATGCGAAAACATGAAAAGTTTGCTTCCAAAATGCTAAAAGCTGATGCTTGGCAGGTCCTGTTTCAGCCTGCTTCACAAAAGATAATTAGCACATTTGCAACCGAGCCGTTTCATCGAATTCTGCCGTTTTGCACATACGACCCATCGGTGTCAAGTTCCTCGTCCTTTTATTCTAATCACTTAAGTCGGGCAGTTAAGGTCGTTTTCTGACTAGACTAAACCTCTACCTGGAAGTCTCTAAAAATGTGCCGAAATCTCATATAGTTTTTTCGTAAACTTGCAAAATTCAGTGATCGCTAAGTCGTATTGTCGTCCTTGATTTGCTTGGCAGAAAAGTTAGTGACCTTAATCTTAGCGATCATGTGGCTTACTGCGCTCATTACCTTACATCGATAAGAATGATCGGTTTTTATAAGGTGAGGACATACAGCAAATTATGGAAAGGATTGCAACCATGCTCATCATATTTCACATCTGCGTTTGACGCACCCAATCTTTGATCTCAAATCATGCAGGCTGTGAGCTACAGATACCCCTACACAGAAGATAGATACTTATTTAAACTGCTGGCTTGTGTGTTCTACCGGGATGCAAGCAAAAAAAACCGCTTGCCTACTGGGTTGAGCACATAAAACACATGAAGCTGTCGCTATAGCATTGTCAGACGTTAGTTCGCCAAGTCAGAGGAGAAATGAAAGCCGATCTATGAAACTATGAACAATTCACAATCTTAGTTGCTACTAAACTTGCGTAATCAGTGTGTGATAATTATTAAATGATTATCGCATCGTCTTAAAGCGCTACTCCCAAAAACTCGCAAGCTACTAGTTAAAACAACCTATCGGGAAGAATTTCTGTTAGAACCACTGTACTCAGCCTTTCACGGCAGTGCACTTGCGCGGTATTATTGCGATCCCCCTAAATAAATCATGTAAAATAACATCTATCCCAAATCTTCAGAATTCGAATCCGAGAGCCAAATGGAACTCGTCTATGGCAGGAAACTCAGGAAAATCCAATAAACGTCGGAATCATGTCGACACGACTGTTGTTACGAGGCCGTCTCAAGGGTTGCCTCATGACGATATCAAGAGGATATATCACTGTTCTTAGTAAAAATGGAACAGAGGAAGGCAATAAATTTTTTCGACGAAACGTTTCGCGAAAAATAGGTGACGTACGTGTACTTACTGTCTAATCAACAAACATCAAGAGCATCTATATTGTGGAAAACCTGCCTTATGAGTTTTTCTGCAACTGCGTTTCACGCAGTAACATGGTTTAATGTCGCATTTTTGCTGACGCGGCGAACTTTTTGTGATAACGAATTTCTCCATATAAGTTGCGTCACTTCTGTCCTTGATCACAATTCTATCAGTTTCCAAAGGTCCTCACAATGAAAGGCTTGGCTTGTATTCTACTATTCCTATTAGTTGCTGATGTCACAGCACAACTGATGTCACGGGCTGTAAGCTCCAGTTCCTATGGTGGATATGGCAGTAGTCTTTCAAGCAGATACGGTGGAGGATTCAGCGGTCTTGGCAGATACGGTGGAGGCAGTCGATTTGGTAGAAGCTACGGTGGTTTTGGCGGAAGTGGCTATGGCAGACTTGGCCGCAGTAGTTATGGTGGATTTGGCGGCGGCAGCGGCTACGGTGGTTTCGGCCGTGGTGGCGGTGGCTACGGCGGAATGATGGGACGCAGAGGAGGAATGATGGGACGACGCGGAGGCTTTGGTGGGATGGGTGGACGATCTGGACGATCTGGCATGGGAATGTTTGCCAGACGTGGAAGAGGCTTCGGTGGAATGGGACGCAGAGGTGGATTCGGTATGCGCAGAGGAGGATTTGGTGGACGAAGGGGAGGATTTGGTGGACGCCGTGGCCGCCGATTCTAAGGAGATTTCAACGTAACACATATTACTTTATGATATCAAATCATACGTATCATCTCAGTTCTAGCTCTCCTCATGTATGTGTTTTCGTAATTGCCTTTGTATAGCATTCTAAGACTATGGCTTTCTTTCGGGCTGAGGCGACTCAGGAATTTTGAAGAAGACGCTAGAAATTTGTCTTCATTGTATATGTGTTATGTTGAGTTGTAAATGAAATGTTATGACAACTTTCTGTCAAATTTCAAAACTACTTTGACAATTTTTATTTTTTGTGATTACTATCGCAGTGAAATCTTGTTTTCACTGTTTAAACGAATCGTACACTGTCTGCAATCAATCTCGTTACAATTTCAATGAAAAAAACGAAAGGCTGGGGCTGTTTATTCGTTTTAGTGCTAAATGATAGATATCAGTTTGCATGTATAAAACAAACAGCTTTTATAGGCCTGACCTCAAAGTAAAAGTATGGTCTGCTTTAAAGAACAAGTTATTTGAAGGCGCACAAAAGATTGTTGCCACGGAATGACGAAATCCTAAGAGTGGCAATTACAGCAATTTTCTACGTTGCAGAGTTGAGCTCAAATCTTATGAGACTTGTACAATTTTAGGATGCTGCAAACCAAAACGTGAGATAAAGCATTGGGTTCGAGCAAAGAATGACTACTTTATGTTGACAAATACTGTCCTCAAGTAATAAAGAAAGCGGTGGGAGCAATTTTGCTATGCACTTTGAGCAGAAACTCTCGAAAACAACTTAAATCCCGAGGACTTATATTCTTAGGTTTAGTTGTGTTTGCAGCCTCAAGACTGTCAACAAAATTTTTGGAAAGCCCTACAGAAAGCTTGGACTTACATCGGAATGTACTAGGACGACCCAGACACTGCTTATTGTACAGCCTGGCCAATATGATCTACGCGTCACTACACACAATGTCCGTCCTTGTTTTGGTTCTGGATTTTCAAAGCTGCACTCCTCCAAGTAAATTTTGTGGCGTTTTCCTTGCATTTTCTTCCTTTTTAGGTACGATCCTCCTCAAAGTGATGTAAGCAGTATCAATCGTCGGTCTTTAGCGTTTTTGCGGCCAGATATCCAGAATGGGGATGGCTCAGTGCGTTGTGTGACCCTTATGATATATGATCGTAAGCTGCACCAAAGGCAAACAATTCTATTTCCCGGGTAGGTGTTGGAGAGGCGAGTTCGGATCCCAAAATTTGAGCTCCGACCGTCCCTTGTTGGGCTCAACGAGGTATCTCCTAAAAGACGTCGACGAAGACCACGCATGAAATCGCAGTTTCAAAGCCCCTGCCCGACGCTGGACCTGGGAATCGCCTAGTGGAAAGTCATAACGAGATTTATACCACATCATCATCACCAAAAGATACTTGGTGACGGACGTCGCTGTTGCCGAAGTTCTTCAAGGGATCAGACCATCGCCTTCAGTCGCTGTTGTTTCGAAGTTCTTTGAGGGATCAGACCATCGCTTCCATTACTAAGTTCTACTTCCCACGTGATCGAGGGGAGCCGTTAAGTCCAGTAAGCATCGTTGAACAACAACTGGGACCTTTTTCTTCAATATCCGGACTTTAGCGAAAAACCGCGATCGATAACACCAACGAAGAATACAAGTGCTTCGTCTGGTATGACCACTTGCCTAAAAAAAAGCTGAGAGTCGAAGAATTACGAAAAAAACGCCTTTCATAACCCGCCAAGGTTTCGTCAAATTCAAGAATAAGGTAATCGCACTTCGTTACTCTGGTAAAACCACAACTGCTTCCCGAAGGCTAATAAAGAATATCATCTACGACTCCTATTTGAACCTTTGGCATCCCCGTCCACTGCATTCAAGCCACCACTGGGAGGAAGATTATGTCACAAATCCGTTCTTTCCTCCGAGATTCATCATGCAATCATGTCGATGAAGAATCATACAGCGCCCGGCGCCAACAAGATATAAAGCTGAATGTATGTTTGTATGTACGTCTGTATGTATGTCTGTGTCTACGTATGTTCCTAATAGCAATTTTTATTTCTGAACCATCCGGACCAAACTTGTCACAAATACACTTCCGGACCGGGCGCTCGTAGACTACTTTTCGTTATCGGTCGATACCGACTTTCTTGATTTTATTGATTTTTTGCAAAGTTTGAGTTACGGGGCAAGGAGATGGCACAGTGTGTAACCGAGCATGCTGACTAAACAGCGAAATTAGGGAATTGGCATGTAGAGTTAGGCACAGGGGAAGGTTGTACAGGGATAGGGATGCGAGCTTTATCATAATGTTTTGACAGGGCCGGGCGGAGCCGGGTAAGCCATCTATTCATTCAATAATCTTACTACATAAGAGGATAGATTGCTAAGAGGATTTGCTCCAGACGTTTGGAGATCAAGTATCGGAGAAAGCCACTGCACTAGAGCTCACGGAGCCAATGCAAATCTCATATAACCCAAATACGGTAAGTGCTGTGACAAAATGGGAATATGGTAAACTTAATGATCTTGAGTGTCAAATGTTGGATGTTGATGTTTTACTTGTATGCTGCTCGAAGATGAAAACGACTCACTCGCGTACGGAGGTGGATGCTCTACGTACTGTTCTCTATATTCTATGTGCATAGTTCCACCCTACCTCGACATGCATCCCGTGCATCCGTATGCACCCCTTAAATTACCCCGTCATACATATGTCTTAGCCTGAGTGGAGCTATTCTTTGATTCACTATTTCTGCATTGCTGGAATGCCGATTGGTGAGTTTGTAACATAACGTACAAACGTTCAAGTCAGTCAATTTTTGAACATTGTGGGAAAAGGTGATTCTCCACTGTTGCAACCTGTTTACTGACTAACAGTGTTTGCGTTTTATGATTTTGCGTGTGATTATTGCAAGATCAGCAATGTCAAAATCTGCGATTGCCACTAACTGCTTGTCTGCTCTTAAGCATATTGATCGAACTTGCTTAAGAGCAGACATGCTTAAACAAAATGTGAAAAGATGGTATTTGTTTCAGAGAGCATAATGCCTCAAAGTTCAAAGGCGCACACACTGTGTCCGTTCCTATGAGCAGGAACTTGAGGGCATAGAGCAAAAGAGAAGAGGTGTAACTTGTACGAGAGAAAGGCTCGTCTGTGGACGTTGAGCAAGACTGATATCGACTACTGTTCACGCCTTGTTCAAGGAATTGAGAAGCAGACTTAGAGGTACGTGTGCAGGAGAGGCTTTCAGATCATTCAGAGACTTGACGACGCTAGCATGGTATCTCAAAAGATACATTTACGAAGATGTTGAGAACCCAACGGACAATGATGAAGGAAAACCCACTCAAGGAAGGATATCATAATGGCAGCACTGAACAAGCATGGGCCTGAGTCGGGCGAAACGACAGAGCTAGCGGTTTATCATAATTTGAGGGATGACAGAGATATCACCATAAGAATTTGCATGAAGAGCTTTTTTCTGTCTACGAAAATTCCAGCCTTTCCAAAACAACCCTGCATAGACTCTTGAAAGTTCTGAGCTTTTCGTTTGAGGTCAACAACAGGCAACCGTTTATTTTTGAAAGGGCCGCCTGTTACCTGCAAGTCATTGCTTCCGCTAGAGAAAAAGGGGGTTACACCGTGCTTATGGATGAGACATGGATATTTAGCGGTATGACAAAAGGCGCGGTTAGAACGACAACACTATACCTTTGCGTCAAGTGCAACTATGGAAAGATATTCATGTGGTGGAAGAGCAGCAGGCAAATAAAAAGAAAACGAGCGGTAGTTTTCACGCCATAGCGGAAGACGATGTAATCCCAGAATGGACCAAGATGGGGTCAGTGGGAGGCGAGGTTTATTAGGTTGCCGGAAATTAATGTCCGTTTTGACTTTCAACCGCATTAAGTCATAAAGTTCTCATTTCTAAATAGATTGCAGAGTACCAGATAGAGAAAAGCAAGCTCTGCAAGATGATAATCTCGCTTTGGCAATAACTCTAATACAGCTCCAGTTTTAAGCCAAAAACTAAAAAGACCCAACTGTTCGAAAAATTGAGAAAAATCGTAGCTCAATTCATAAGTATCTCACAAAAATTCTAACTCGCTCTCATAAACACTATCCACAAAAGGCATATATATATACGCCGTTGCGGTATTTTTTCCTCTGTTAGAAGTCAAGAAAATGCAAATTTTTGTGCATTTGCCAAAGTGATGCTTTGCATTTCCCACATAATAGTTGCATACTACAGATTTGTAGCAGTACAAACGCAAATTTTCAGCTCTCTATAAGCTTTAGTTCTTGAGAAACGTGAATTTTAGCTTGGACCACCTGACTAGGGAAAACTATATTCGATACTACTTGAGAACCAAAACTTGTAGAGAGCTGGAAATTTGCGTTTTTTACTTCTACAGGTCTGTAGTATGCAACTATGTGGGAAATACTATACTATACTATACTTTACTTATGTGGGAAATGCAAAGCATCACTTTGGCAAATGCACGAAAATTTCCATTTTCCTGATTTCTAACGGAGGAAAATATACAGCAGCGACGTATATAAATGCCTTTTGTGGATAGTGTTTATGAGAGCGAGTTAGAACTTCTGTGAAATACTTATGAACTGAGCTACTATTTTTCTCGATTTTTCGGGCAGTTGGGCCTTTTTAGTTTTTGGCTTAAAACTCGAGCTGCATTAGAGTTGTTGCTAAAGCGAAATCATCATCTTGTAGAGCTTGCTTTTCTCTATCGAATGGTCCTTTGCAGCTCAGTTAGCAAGGACATGACTTAATGATGTTGAAAGTCAAAACGAACATTAATTTCCGGATAACCCAATAGATGGGACCGCCACATGGACATGAACTCGAAATTTTGAAATATAGTTAACTGAAGCTATCCCTCACATAATAAGGCGTGCAAATGGCAAGCGCGTTAGCCTATAGTCGAGTAGATTCCCTGCTTAATATAGTGTTCCTGCAGACGCAACAACAGTGGTGCGTCGATAATCCGCTGCGAGCGAGTTTCCGAGCAATGTTTTCTGGTGCTT